CAGGCAACCACAGCTGAAATTTTATTTATTATTTTTTCCATGTTGTCTTCAGAAACTTATGTAGAATATGTAGAAGAGAATATGTATATATATATATATATATATATATGTGTGTGTGTGTGTGTGTGTGTGTGTGTGTGTGTGTGTGTGTGTGTGTGTGTGTATACATATACATATATATATATATATATATATATATATATATATATATATATATATATATATATATATATATTAGGGATGTAACAGTATCAGAATGTCACGGTACGGTATTTATTGAATCATTTACAGGAAAAAACAAAACTTATGAAAATACTCCAAAAAAGTGCCAAAAGTGTCAATGACATACAAATTAGTCATCTATCTGTAAGCTTTGAAACAGGAACTTCAATTTTAATAACAAAAAAATATTAAACCATAAAAAAAAATTAAGTTTCAATTTAGTATTGTTGAAAGCTCATCACATTCAACATTTAATCACTCACTTAGATAGAGATGGGTTTAAAGGAAAATTATCATATAAATATAATCTGGTAAAAGCTGGTATCTCTGGGTATTTACAATGTCCCCTGCAACAGAAAAAAACCCTCTCATTTGGGACTGAGGTTTCTGGGACAAGAGAGATATGACTTGGCCCAGGTTGACAGCAGTGGGTATTGTGCATTGTCTTTTCCCCACTTGAGAGGACAAACCATGAGTAAGATAGAGATCTCATGTCTGCATCAATCTGAACAGTGTGCTGTGTTTCTGCAGTCCCCATGACTGATTATTAGTCGTATTCCCCAACTTGCAGGCACGTGCACACACAGTGCTCAACCTGTGCAGTGCACATGCCCTTTTTAGTCTTGGATAGAAAGTTCCCTTCCAAAATGATCAAAAGTGCCCCCGTGACGCGACATACCCTCCGTCCCCGCTTTACAGTACGCGCCGACAACACAGCTGATAAGAACTCGCGCGACAACACCGCTATTCAGTACGCGCGCGGCGACAACACCCGCTTTAGGGTTTTCCAGCTCTTTTTGATCCCCGCTTCTAGCAGCACACTCCATTTCCGCATTACTGGATCTGTAGCGACAACAGACCGCAAGGGATTATGGCCAAGCCTGGGCTGATGGGAATTGTAGTTTCCGGTACCTCCCGTTCGCTTCATTCGCCTGAGCAAATTTTCTCAGAAGAACTATAGTTTTACCGAGTCATGCGACAATGGTAATATCGAAAAAAATAAATATTGCGGTATGACGGTATTTACAATACCGTTACATCCCTAATATATATATATATATATATATATATATATATATATATATATAAATATATATATATATATATATATATAAATATATAATACAGGGTTTGTCAGTATATTTGCTCATTGAACGCTTCTCTCCCTTCTTTAAGTCTCATGCAGGAAAAGTGGTCCTGAGGAGCTGGTATGAGAAAAACAAACACATCTTCCCGGCCAGCCGATGGGAACCTTACGATCCCGAAAAGAAATGGGATAAATACACAGTAAGTATAAGCAGACAGTCACTATATTTTCTGAACGTCTCCACTCTAAAATTGATGTTATGCCTGATTTGAATAAAAGAGTCCAAAACATGATCCTAACCCGAAACACCAAACATATGTTTAAGCACCAGCCAAAACAAAAAACACACACGATTTTCCATAGTGAACAGGATGTCGGCAGAGTTCAAACAAAGTCACATCTGAGCATTTACTTTTGATGTCAAACAAAATCTGAGCTTTGAAATTGTGCAGATTTTCTAGGAATTTCCAAAAAGAAATGTGCTTTTAGTTTGATGTAACTGATTGCTTTTGTCATTTATTTCAAGTGACACATGAGCCAATCGTCTTTTCTTGACTACTACCTTAAGTGCCGAATGAGAATGAACGAACGTAACAAAGTATGTTGAAAGAAACACTATATCTTCAGGGAAATATGGCAGATGAAAGAGGCTCTGTGTGCTTCAAATATATAATCGTGTTGTGGTCTGACATGGCCATTTAACCAAAACCAAAAATTGCGGTTTTCCAGGACAAGCTAAAAATGTTTTCGGGGAGATGAAATCAAGATGTCGGCAGACTACAAAGAAATCTCAGTTGTTTATTCCTAGTGTGTTTACGAATTTCAGTGTTTCCCCTTAGGTTTACAGTTTTAGGGGGGAATAACAGTAAAATAAAAGTATTTAATGCCCTGTTCATGGCTGAGAAGTCCCTCTCACAGTTTACACTGCTGACTGGGATCGTCAGGGCAATAGCAGCTACTTTAAAACTAAAATAGAAAATAATAATTTTAAAAACAAGAAAGTTGGCCAGTTTGTCTCATTGCGCTATTGATACACTACCAGTTGCCACAGCAATATCACCCTGCAGCCTAAAACTGGTTACTCACAAAAGCTAAGCAGGGCAGAGCCTGGTCAGTACCTGGATGGGAGACCACATGGGAAAACTAGGTTGCTGTTGAAAGTGGTGTTAGAGAGGCCAGCAGGGGGCGCTCAACTTGTGGTCTGTGTAAGTCCTAATGCCCTAGTAAAGTGAAGGGGAAACTATACTGTCAGTAAGCACCGTCTTTTGGATGAGATGTTAAACCGAGGTCCTGACTCTCTGTGGTCATTAAAACTCAGTACTTCTGGAAAAGGTTAGGGGTGTAACCCCAGTGTCCCGGCCTAATTTCCTACATTGGCCCCTATCGGCGTCCCAATCATCCCCATCCACTGAATTGGCTCTATCACTGTGTAGTGAGCACACTGTCGCAGTTGTCCTGTGGCTGCCTTCACATCATCCAAGTGGATGCTGCACACTGGTGGGGGTGTGGAGACTGGAGAGACCCCCCTCATGATTGTGAAGTGCTTTGGGTGTATGGCCATACACAATAAATGCGCTATATAAATACACATTGCTTGCTTGCTTACTTACATTGATATTAGTGCACTTAAGGTCAAGTATAAAGTATACTTTATTTATTAAGTATAATTAAAAAAATGTAAGCATACTTCTTTTTTCTTAAGGGTGTATTTACTGACTTGCTTACCAAGATCAGACTTGTTCTGCCAGGGGGGATATTACCGCTCTGACAGCCAAGTTGAGTCAAAGCCTCTCATCCAGTGTAGTGATAGGGAGTAGAGATCTGTGCAGGACTGAAATTTCAATCCTGCTCCAACCAGGATTTATACCGCACCTGACCGTTCCCACCTTATATTCAGTCTTTGTTCACCCGCTACCCACCCCGACCATTCCCGCTAAATCCGTTTTTCAAAATGTCACGTTAAAATTGGGCACTACCAAAAGAGAAACATAACAGATACAAATGTTGGTTGTACAAGTAGTATAGGCTAAATGGCAGTTTTGTTTGCCCGTTTGTGATGAGGCATGACTGCAGAGTCACATGCGGTTAGGTTTGTGGTTGGTAAGGCACAAGAGGCTGAGACTTTTTCAAAGTCAGATTTACAAATAAATCCTTTCAATATACTAACTGGTCTATACCAATTGCTAACTACCAATTGTGTTTCATATATCATATCAGCATTCTTTCTATACATGTAGCAGGTTCATATTGGGCCACAGAAGTTAAATAGGCCTCCCTAAAACACCCAGCTGGATGGTACAGAGTCCAGTCAGCCAAGCAACACACAGCACCACGGCGGATGCATTTTTTTTTTCTCCTGAAATTTAGTACCGTGCCGCAAGAAAACTAGTTGGGTCCCACAGGAGTGCAGACCTCTGATGTGAAGTTCCGATCATTTTATTGGCTCGGACCTTTGAGTCTCGTTCATTGAGATTAACAAATTTCATTTCGTTCAATTTGCCAAAATATTCTAAAGATGTTACGAGTTGCTTCTAAACTCATCTACAACTACACCAAACATTGAACAAATCATAACTAGAATGCTTTAAGAGAGAAAATTATTTACCTGGTCTTTTGACAATGATTATGTCAGCTCACCTCTTCTGATCGGTCTTCAAATTTGAGTGGTTCGTTCATGTCACACTGACAGTCCCATATTAGCATAACCAATGCACACAGTCTGAACCGGAAGGAACCATGATTAGTTCACCTTTTAAGTCTTCTGGTTTTCATCACGTGACTGCATGTAAAGAGAGATTACTCAAACCGAGGACTCAAGAAATGAACAGATCAAATCACTTTCCGGCTCTAAATGTATGAACGAAACTAACGAAAATGAACTAATCTTCTCCTCCACCTGCACAAATGTGCGTGTGCGCAAATGAACGAACCACTCCCTGAGAGGACTCATCGTTCTCGAATCATTCATTCGCCTCTCAGATGTGGCGCACACTCCCATCCCTATACATTAAAGAGTGGCTGTGAACTCCATGCACCGCGCGAGATTCAGAGAGCAGAAATTTGTAAACTCGCGACTATGTAGTGACATAATTTTTAAGATTTGTGTAATTAAGATATTACATACATCTAATTAGCTTGTTTATTTAAAGAAGTTGCAATATGGCTCTGTATAGAAAATAAAATTAACTTGAATTCAAGGGGGGTGGAAAAAGCCATTGGGAGAGTGGGGCACCCCCCAATATAATGGTAGGGGAAACACTGAATTTCTTTTCGTTGCTTTTTCAGATTCGGTGAGATGCCGCATCGATGAAACCTGCAGAGCTTCGATGGATTCATTGACCTTGGGCAGCAGAACACTTCTTCATGTGTAGCATTGTAGACTATCAGTTACTCTTTTCACCCACATTTTCATTGTATATAGGAGAAGATGAGGCATAAACTGATTGTGAATTGAGTTTTTTGTCATACACTCGTTGTTTGGTATAAACAACTAGGTCTTTTGTTTTTACGCAACTGATATTGACCTTCTCCGTTGTATTTAATGAAGTGTTTCATTCCTCTATTAAAAAAAAAATCATTTCGTCACTCTTGTAAATCGTTTCATGTTGATTCCATCGGCCGCTTTTGAAGATTGTTGTTGTCTACATTTTATGAAAGATTTGTAGGTTCCCGGAGAGAAACCACTCCTGTCGAAAATTAAATGGAAAGCTCAATAGTCACGTAAAACCGCAGGCTATCAATCTCTCATGGCGCATTTCATGGAACTGTATTTACGCCAATCTTATTTTCACAGATGCAGAATGTTGCTTTTGGCTATTGGTCCTGCAGGACTGTTTTTGTGGTTTGAGTTATTATGGGTCGTTCATCAGTTTACATGGTCAGGGTAAAGCCGGAAGAGCAGCTTCAAAGCAGTAAATCAGGTTTAGGCATACCTGGCGGTTGAGGAACGTTGACAGCCTCTACATTTTCCCCCCAGGCCACCACTCCCTCTGCTGCTCTTATTTTCACTTCCAAACCTTTGGTCTACCTCCTCTCCTCCTATTTCAGCCCCTTCCGCTTTTACGCAACTGATCTTCACTTCTTCAAGAGACTCAGCTTATTTGTGTCGAGGACGCTAACGTTCTAGGACTGAAGACAAGATTTTGTAGTTGGACTTTAGGTGAAGGGAGCATGATGTGGCCACCCACGTTGACCCTGGATCTGCTCCTGCTTTTCAGCTTATTGATCCACACGCATGGAGATCAAACATCTTACAGACCTCAGAGTTGCACACTTGAATGCATCCGTCGGGTAAGATCTGCTTTATGCTTCTCAATAACAACAACAACAGCTTTTGTATTTCTGATTGTTCTTAATAGGTGTAAATTTATATGTATGTGTATATATATCTAGTAAGTCAAAATTATTAAACCCTCTTTGGTATATATATTTTTTCTTTTTAAATATTTCCCAAATGATGTTTAACAGGGCAAGGAAATTTTCACAGTATGTCTAATCATATTTTTTCTTCTGGAGAAAGTCTTATTTGTTTTATTTGGGCTAGAATAAAATCAGTTTTAAATACTAGTTTTAAAAACATTTCTAGGTCAATATAATTAGCCCCTTAAGCTATAATTTTTCGATAGTCTACAGAACAAACCATCGTTATACAAAAACCTGCCTAGTTAACCTAATTATCCTAGTTAAGCCTTTAAATGTCACTTTAAGCTGTATAGAAGTGTCTTGAAAAAATATCAAGTCAAATATTATTTACTGTCATCACAGCAAAGATAAATAAATTAGTTATTAGAAATGAGTTATTAAAATTATGTTTAGAAATGTGTTAAGAAAATCTCTCCGTTAAACAGAAATTGGGGGAAAAAAATAAACGAGGCTAATGATTCAGGAGGGCTAATAATTCTGACCTCGTGTGTGTGTGTGTGTATATTTATACAACAGTTCTGTCTGGTTCTCAAATCTGATTGGCTGATAGCTGTGCGATAATCTGCAATATCAGAACTCTTACAGCCTCTTTACCCTTTGTGTATCTGCCCACATACAGCCAGCAAAAAGCAGACACTACAGATCTAAAGTTGCAAAGATGGTTGCTCAGCTGTTTAACTGTTAGCTTATGATTTGAATCCAATGCGGAAGAAAGTAGTTCCACATACAAAAGGGTTTTTGAAACTCTCCATGTTTGATTTTGTTTTTATATACACAACTATGCCGTCAAACTGTTGTATAAACGCAATATCACACTCGTACCAGTGTCCCACCATATATATATATATATATATATATATATATATATATATATATATATATATATATATATATATATATATATATATATATATGAGCAATATCACACGAGAAGCAGTGCGATATGGCTGTATATCGGCACTGGTGGGAAGAGTGGTCATATACATATATATATATACATACATACAGTTGAAGTCAGAATTATTAGCCCCCCTTTAATTTTTTTATTTATTTTTAATATTTCCCAAATGGTGTTTAACAGAGCGAGGAAATTTTCACAGTATGTCTGATAATATTTTTTCTTCTGGAGAAAGATTTATTTATCTTTTTTCGGCTTGAATAAAAGCAGTTATTAATTTTTTAAACACCATTTTAAGGACAAAATTATTGGCCCCTTTAAGCTATTTTTTTTTTTTGATAGTGTACAAAAGAAACCATCGTGATAGAATAACTTGCCTAATTACCCTAACCTGCCTAGTTAATCTTATTAACCTAATTAAGCCTTTAAATGTCACCTTATAAAAGTGTCTTGAAAAATATCTAGTAAAATATTATTTACAATCATCATGGCAAAGATAAAATTAATCAGTTATTAGAGATAAATCATTAAAACTATTATGTTTAGAAATGTGTTGACAAAATCTTCTCTCGGTTAAACAGAAATTGGGGAAAAAATAAACAGGGGAGCTAATAATTCAGGGATCTAATAATTCGGACTTCAACTGTGTGTGTGTGTGTGTGCGTGTGCGTGTGCACTACATAAAAATGTCAAAAAATATATGAGATAGATAGATAGAGCTATTTTATTCTATACAGTTATGCATATATGCATATATCTTTAGTGTAAATATAATTTGTTTTATGGATGTAATTAATCATTTGACAGCACTAATGTGTGCGTATGCCAATGTCCGGGTGTTTGTTTATGTATATTTTCTGTGTCTGTGTTTATACAAATGTTCTGTGTTTATGGTTCATGCTTCTTAAAAGGTTTTAAGGCCATCTTTTGCAGCTGGTTTTTCTGGTTACTCAGTTTAATGACTATCGGAGGAACAATAATGTTTTATATGTCTCAACTCTCATAAAAACATTCGGTGAAGCCAGCTATTTTAGCTCAAAACATTATAGTATCTTACTTGTAAAGCAAAAAATATTGCAGATAACAAGAAACGTTTTTTTTCCCCAATATTTACAAATGTGTCCTCAGGGGAAGTATTTGCTCATTTGATTAATCATGCAGAATCTGAAGTTTCTTTTATTTACCGAAGACCTTTTTTTTAGGGAGACCCAAATTGTGAATACTGTAGAATCACAGCAGACGATGAGCAGGTTTCTACCATTGTTCCTTTTTCCAGTCCTTTTGGAAGTAAGTCATTATTGTTTGGAAGTTTTATTTTATTTATAAATGATCTCCAGTACCCATAAAACATTAAACAGCCTTACAATGCTTGTGTAAAAAAGTTTTTATTGCTTAACATATGACATAAATATTTATATACATCTTGAAAGTTCTCAGTGTTACTAGACCCACTGGATTTATTAGGTATATATATATATATATATATATATATATATATATGTATATATATGTATATATATATTTGTTAGTCTGATTAGTATTTTTTCAGTTTTAAATAAAACAAAATATTTTTCCCTTTTTATTTATTTAAATTGTAAAACAATATGTAAATTAATAAACATTTAACTTTTTATTGTGTACATATAGACAAAAGCTAAAAAAGAAGAAAAAAATGAAGACAACATCAGTAAAATGTAAGCAAACCCTGACAGCATCAGCATCATTTTGTCCATTTACAATTATATTTGGCTTTGGAAGTAATTTATGAATAGACACCACATGGTAGTGAACTAAGGAATTGCAACAAATCATTGGCCCACTGTTTAAAAGATGAGGGAAATTACCATTTCCAATTGATTTGAATCAAGCGTTTGGCCAAAAGAGAAGTAAAGGCAAGGCAGTCCAATTCACTTTTTTTTAAAAATAGTTATTTTTATATACAATACCAAAGATAGCAGTTAAGGGATTAGCAACAACTTAGCAAAATATTCTGGAGTAAGATAAAGAAAAATTTGACCAAAATGCAGATATAACCAAAACATATGGGCTAATGTAGCTGGAGACTGCTTGCATCTTGTACAAGTAAGGTCAACAGAGGAATGCATCCTTGCCAGTTTGGGCTTGGAAAGATGAAGTCTGTGTACCACTTTAAATTAAATAAGGCTATTTCTAGCACAAACAGAGAATCTATAGATTCTATAGCCTCATTCCAGTCCTCGTCTTTCAAACTGATATTAAGGTCTAGTTGCCAGGAGTCTCTTTGTGCAGATCTAGAAGTAGATAATGATGCAAGTTTACTATATTTGTTCTGGGTCATCAGGAAAAAGCTGATCAATGTGATTTTGTTCAGGGAGGGCAGAAAAATAGGGAAAATTCTCGGTAGTGAACACAGCAAAATCCTCTGAGTAAATTTGACTCAGTTGAGAGAGTATTTGGTCCCTCTCTAAATTGAGGTAAAGTTACTCAGGTTAATGAGACAATGAAAGGATTAATTTGGTGTAAATTGAGCACTGATGATGAACACTTGCTGTTAATAAACAGAAGCACAAAACTGCAACTAACTTCAGTCACAGCCTTAGATGAAATCAGCTGAAATTGAATACATTGAATCTCTCAAAATCTCAGCAGAGGATCATTAAGCAACTACACAAACAGCAGCTTTACTTATTACCAGCCTGCTTGCTCTTATTTAAAGAGGGACCAAATACTCTATGAACTGAGTACATTTTGCTCAGATGATTTTGCTGTGAAGTCACACACATGTAGATATCTGATAAGTGGGCTTTAGGAGTTTTAAACTGAGATGCTAATTGGGTGAAAAACAAAAAGCAGCCATCAACAGAGAAATCTTTAAATGTTAAGATGCCGTTTTCTTGCCAAAGCAAAAATGCCTGGTCATTCAATGGCTTAAAAAATCTTTGATTATTTGCAACTGGGGCACAAACTGAAGCTCTCTGCCAACCGAAATATTTGCGAATTTTGGGCCCAATTCTGATTAGAGTTCCAAACCATTGGGTGCAATGATTGAGAGTCTAGACAAGGGGTGTCCAAACTCAGTCCTGCAGGGTTAGTGTTGGGTATAGCTCCAACTTGCCTCAAAAGATCTGCCAGGAAGTTTCTAGTACATCAAGTAAGAACTTGATTAGCTGCTTCATGTGTGTTTAATTAGGGTTGGAGCTAAACTCCCCAGGACACCGGCCCTCCAGGACTAAGTTTGGGGCACCCCTGGACTAGACCCATTGGAAAAGGTGAAAAACGAAGAGCTGTGCAAAATATTTCTTTAAAGATTATTTTTTATTTAGTGGTATGTTTTCAGAAAATTACAATTGATCAGAATAACCAAAGTTTTAATCTCAAGTCCTTTACTCTGATCTGAAGTTAAAACTGACCACTGTGTTGTCAACATTTATAAGAATGTCTGAAAAACTTAACACTTTTTGTTATTTTATGCAACTGTAAATGTAAATGAAAGCATTTTCATGATTAAAAACAGCCTTTAATAAGGTCACAATTTATTTTGATGGGCCGTTTGTTGAATTAAGTTACATTGCATTTACAGGCCAACTAAATATCATTAGACAATAAGTAGACTGTTAGGTTGGGATTAGGATTAAGGTTAGTGTAAATTGACTTGTACTTGCTTAGTTTCTTATAGTGAGTTAAATGTCTGTTAAGCAGCAGTATCAACAGATATTAAGCAGACAGTCTACTCATACTCAAATGGACCATCAAAATAAAGTGTTTCCTTTAATAAAATCCAAAATCATGTTTATAACATAACTAAATATGAATCCAGAGAACTGAATTATATTCTCATTATATTAAATGTATGTGTTATAGAATGCTAACAATGCAAAAACACATGACGTTAAGGATTGTGATTTTGTAATCATGTTTTTTTGTGCTCATCACGAAACAATAACATTCAGAAAAGTGTTTTCGCCTTTTCCTTTTAGCAGTGATCAGTATTGACGCATACCAGAAGGATTGCAGCTTTATTTGGAGTTGTTTTATTTATGAAAACACATGCAGCGTGGAAAATTTCAGGTCTCTGTTGGATTTGTACCTGCGATGGTTTAGATGATTTCGCTAAACAAATCAAGCTGTTTTGCTATATAATCGTTAGCAGAAGTGCCAGAAATCGCTTTCATATTTGCCTTTGCTTGAGCCAAGCTATAATCAATAAATCTGTGCTTGTCCATTCGTTGCTGCTTTCCCAAACAAGCTTTTAAAGAGTCTCTCTCTTTTGCAAGTTCTCTAGTTTTTGACAGTGTACCTTGTAGCACAGCAGCCGTAAATGCTTTAGTAAAAGTTCAGTGTTCTAGAATAACAGCAACATCTGCATCTACCTATAGCTATTAAACACAACTATTGAAGCCATTGCTCTAATTGCTATTAAAGCAAGTCATGTGTGAAGCTTATTAGGAGAACAGCATCTCCTTGGGTGGTAGTGTTAACTTCTCTGCTTGGCCAGGTTGTGTGCCTTGGCCTTGTCACTCCTTTCTAGGGCAGGAATCTCCAGACGTCTGCCAGCATTATGTTCATGCACCTCACAATATTAACATTGAGTTTGAACACAATGAAGAACCAACGTATGATACGGTTACGGTGTCATGGAACCCCAGCCAATACGGTAACATCTATCTGTCTGTTGTTAAATATTTCCATCCATTCTAGTTTTTTTATTAATTCATTCAACCTATTTGTCTGTCATACCATCCATCAATAGATTCATTGATCAAACTGTCATTCTGTTTATTTATCCATCTCTTTTTTTGCATATTTTCTGTGTGTCCATCCATCCGTCTATTTATTTATTCCTCTACCTGTTCATCCTTCTATTTGTTCAGCCATCAATCTGTCCTTCTATTTGTTCATCTAAATATACATCCATCCATTCATTTTTCTTCTATTTTTCTATCCATCCTTCCAGATGTTAGTCTTTCCATTTATCCTTCTATGCTTCCATTTTTACTTACCATCCTTTCTTCCATTATTCTTCTGTTTGTTTATCTATCCTTTTTTCTCTTTGTTGGTCTGTTTATCCATCAATCCTTCCATACATCCATATATCTATATAAATCCATCCATATCCATATATATCCATTCATCCACATCATATCAATTCATATATATCCATCCATATACAGTGCATCCAGAAAGTATTCATAAGGCTTTACTTTTTACACATTTTTTTTTTATCCAAAATGAATTAAATTTATTTATTTCCTCAAAATTCTAAACACAATACCCCATAATGACAATGTGAATTTTTTTTTTTTTAAATTGTTGCAAATAAAAATAAAAAAAACCTGAAAAAACACATGTAAAGAAGTATTCACAGCCTTTGCTCAATACTCTGTTGATGCACCTTTGGCAGCAATTACAGCCTCAAGTCTTTTTGAATATGATGCCACAAGCTTGGCACACCTGTCTCTGGGAATTTTTGCCCATTCCTCTTTGCAGTACCTCTCAAGCTCTATCAGGTTGGATGAGAAGTGACAGTGTACAGCCATTTTCAGATCTCTCCAGAGATGTTCAATAAGATTTTGGTCTAGGCTATGGCTGGGCCACTCAAGGACATTTACAGACTTCTTCTGAAGCCACTCCATTGATATTTTGGCGACGTGCTTTGGGTCATTGTCCTGCTGGAAGATGAACCGTCGCCCCAGTCTGAGGTCAAGAGCACTCTGAAGCAGGTTTCCATTCAGGATGTCTCTGTACATTGCTGCATTCATCTTTCCCTTTATCCTGACTAGTCTTCCAGTTTCTGCAGCTGAAAAACATCCCCACAGCATGATGCTGCCCCCACCATCCTTCACTGTAGGTATGGTATTCGCCTGGTGATGAGCGGTGCCTGGTTTTCTCCAAACATAACGCCTGGCATTCACTCTAAACAGTTCAATTTTAGTCTCATCAGATCAGAGAATTTAGTTTCTTATGCTCTGAGAGTTCTTCAGATGCGTTTAGGCAAATTCCAGGCAGGGAGTGGCTTCCGTCTGGCCATACAGGCCTAATTGGTGGATTGTGCAAAGATGGTTATCTTTCTGTAAGGTTCTCCTCTCTCCACAGAAGAATGCTGGAGCTCAGACAGAGTGACCATCTGGTTATTGATCACCTGCTGGCTTTTTTCCCCGATCACCCAGCTGATGGCCAGTCAGCTCTAGAAAGAGTCCTGGTGGTTCCAAACATCTTCCACTTACGGATGATGGAGGCCACTGTGCTCATTGGAACTTTCAGAACAGCGGAAACTTTTCTGTAACCTTCCCCAGCCTTGTTCATTGAGACAATTCTGTCTCCGAGGTAGACAATTCCTTTGTCTTCATGCTTGGTTTGTGCTTTGACATGCACTGTCAACCCTGGGCCCTTATATAGACTGTATATAGAGCTTAAATAGAGCTTCATGGCAAAGGCTGTGAATACTGATGTACATGTGATTTTTATTAATCATAATTTTTTTGTCTTTTTTTATGTTTTTTAATTTTAGTAAATTTGCAATAATTAAAAAAAAATCTTCTTTTCACATTGTCACTATTTGTCCTTCTATTTGTTCAGCCATCAATTCTTGCTTTTTCTATTTGCCTGCCCATTCGTCCACCCATCCTTCTATTTGTTCATCATCTCTGTTTGTTCATGTTTGACTTTTTTCCCTTCTGTCTGTCCACCTCTTTTGTTATACGTTTTCCAGTAATCTTTTTCTTTGTCCTGTATATCATTCTACCCTCGTCTGTTCTATTCTATTCTATTCTATTCTATTCTATTCTATTCTATTCTATTCTATTCTATTCTATTTTATTCTATTCTATTCTATTCTATTCTATTCTATTCTATTCTATTTTATTCTATTCTATTCTATTCTATTCTATTCTATTCTATTCTATTGATTTATTCTGTTGCTCTTTTTTATTATGTTGTTCTGTTCTATTATGTTGTTCGTTTCCATCTATCTGTCATCCATCTATCCATCTGTCAGCCTATCTAATGATTTCATTGATGTGTACAGGAATTGCGTTCTTGCGTGGATTTCAAGTAATGCTACAGGTTCTTGGTGGATCTCAAGTATTATGTCAGCTTTTTCTCCTGGGCAGCAATTTATCTCTCACCCCTGCTGATGCACAGAAGGTATGTACAAAGACTGAAAAAAAGAAGCTACAAATTAGATAGCAATGCATATTTATTATTGTTAAGAACTGTATAATACATGTGATAATCACATCACATTATGCTTGGTGGTGTCATATTGTGTATCTACAGTATGTGTGTGTCATGTGATGAATTCCTGAAGTCATGAGGTCATGGAACTTATTTCCTTGCTGGTTTTGCACAGGTTTATTATTCGGATCCCTTCACGCGTCTGTTCTTGGATAGCGAGTATGTTGTGACTGTCATGGCGTTGCCCGTTCCCGAAAAGTGGAACCAGTTCTATCAGAAGAAACAATTCTTTACCCACAGTAAGCCACTTTCTTCTCTAGTTCAAAACAAACATGCAGTTAGTTTGACATCCAATAGAAATGTTGACAACTTGTCACATTTAGACAATCAAATGACAATTGATGCTTGAGTTGTAGTAAACCTGTCAATTGTGTTGATGTTTTCAGCATGTCCTGAAAAAAATGGACTTGAAAAATGTAAGAATGGTGAGTGTTGATGTTTACGTGTTTTTGTTGTCTGTGGCACGTTTTCATTATATACAGTATGTGTTCATTCATGTATGTCCTGTCAATCATTATAGACTGGCATCCCACATATGTTGAGGTCCACCAGGAGAAAAGGGATGTTTATGTGACCTTTAACCTTGCCCCTGAGAACTTTGGAGTTCATCAGTATTTTTCATCATGTTTTGGGGGCGGACGACGGAATTACACGAGCATTAAACCAGTGAGTTTTCAATTTAAATTATATACTGTGTGTATATATAGTGCTGTGCAAAATTTAAAATTTAAGTAGTTTTACTGATGGTATAATGGATATATGTGACCCTTTACCACAACACCAGTCATAAATGTAAATGTTTTTGTCAGTATTTTTAAGATTGAGATTTATACAGGATAATTGAATTATCTTTGAGTTGATTTGTGGTTTGTTAGGATAAGAGTTAGGTTAGGTTCCAGTTAGAGAATTATTTTGGGTTAATTGTGTAAGATGTAAAAGATAATGTTGGAGAGAGGCTGTTTGTCCTGGTTTGAGCTGCATTTCTACCAGTGTTGTTAGCAATGTTGTCTGAATTGTAAATGTTGAAACGTACAGAGGTTTTTTTATGTTTTATTTATACATTGTAAAACACATTACACAAATATAGAAAAAGGACAACATACATATGTAACATTATACAAATACACTCTACAGTATTTTGAGCAAAAAAAATTAAAATAATAATACAAATAAATAAATTATATATATATATATATATATATATATATATATATATATATATATATATATATATATTTATATATATATATATTTTTTTTTTTTTCTGTATATATATATATATATATATCTATATACATACAGAAAAAACAAGTCACAAGTCTACAATGTGTTGACCAGAACTAGTATCCAGTGCCAAGCCGGGAATTAGGGGGTGGGAACTTAATCAGAAGGAGCACGATCAAGCTGAAGAGTTTGGACATGTTTGTGAAGGGGTTCCTTCAATTTAATGAAAATAGTGCTAGGTCGGTGAAGAGAGTACCTAATTTCCTCTAATTTCATAAAATAAAGAACATTTCTTATCCAACAAGTGTGAGATTGGCTAGCCAGAAGGGTTAAGAAGGCTACAAAGTCTTTAAAAAATGAGAGGGTAAAGTGTTGTCGGGCGGGAGAACCCCAACTAAACCAATAATTGGACAGTGAGGGGGAGGGGGACGGGTACCAACAGTGGTAATAGCTGATGGTGAGAGGAATATTTGCCTCCAAAAATAAAACAATGAAGAACAGGAGCAAAACATATGAATTAAAGTAGCTGAACCAGAATGACACCTGTCACACTCAGGGTCAATAGACGGGTTGATGCGAGCTAGCCTGCTCTTGGACCAATGAGAAATTGATCCGTTAGCACAGGGATCTATGCCCAGTATGGTGTCTAGATCTGAAGTAGGAGGTGCATTTGGAAAGTTAACGAATTTTTGTCTTGTATTGGGGATAATAAAGGGATATTTTGAAGACCAAAATGCCGCAAAAATTAGGTCCACATTTTGAGACTGTTTTTTACAGATAGGTTTTAATCTAATATGCCATTCCTTCTGGCAAGAACTTCAGTGGTGATAGTTTTCATTTTCAGTATGATAATGATCTGCTTATTGTAATGAAATCCTATTTGGAGAAAGAAAACAGCTGATGAAACACAGACACTCATGAAATGGCCTCAACAGTGACCAGATCTGAATATCACAGAGTCTGTATGAGACCACCTGGACAGTAAAGGAAAGATAAGACGCTCTAAACCTAAAGAGGAACTTTGGAAGGTGCTGAAGGAAGGCTGATATTACACAGCACATTATTTCAGAAAATGTCAGGACAATTAGAACGAAAACAGCCGTGCTTGGTGCCAAGGGAAGCCATATTAAACGTAGACTTGTTTTGGATGTATGATTTACTTAACAGTTTTAGATTTTAATTTTACAAACATATTAAACAACCCTTATAAAAGTAATTACAAATAAATAAATTAAATGAACAATCAAATAAAATGAATCCCAATTACATAAATATGTATAGAAGGGCAGATGTCAACATTTATGCAGCAATCTCAATGTTACAATTGGAGTGATGAAAGATTAAAAACTGATGTGTTATTATTGTCGAGATCTAGCAAGGGTGATCAGTCTAGATCCAGCTGGAGAGTTTTAACATAAGAAGGGCTTCTAAATTTTAGCAAACGTTTTGTTATGTGTTTGAAGGGAGTATCTAATCTGCTCTAGGTTCACAAAGCTGGGGGCTCTTCCAGTGTAATAAAATTACATACCTAGCAAGCAAAGTAGGAAAGGCTACAAAGTTTAAAAAGTGGGTGATGTATAATTATGAGGCATCACACCAAACAGGCCAATAATACGTGATGATGCTATATCTATAGAGTTAATGACTGAAAGAGAGAGAAATACTGAACCCCAGAATGAGGAAAGAGCTTGGCATGTTCGCAACATATGGGTTAAAGTGCCTTAACCCGAATGACACTTATCCGGATTAATAGTTGGGTCAATCTGTGCAAGCCTATTTCGACTAGTGTACTCGGTGAATCACTTTACACTGAATGAGGCAGTGATGCGCGCATATAGATAAGGAATAAACTCTGTCTAAAAATATAGACTTTTGGTTAAGGATGAAATGTTGTGCTGTTGTTTTTTGTACATATTTCCTATATATATATTTTTTTTGGTTTACATTCGTTTATTAATTTTTTTACAATTGTAATTGATTTTCTAGGATTTATTGCTTAACAAGACACACCACACATACCGTTTGCCGAATCTCCAAGCAGGTACAAACTACTCCTGCGAGGTAAGGTTTCATTCTTATCATTACAAGGGTGTGGGTTAATTTAGGTTACTGTATCATTAAATTGTCAGCCGTCGTCTTTTACCTTAAACAGTCATGAGTATTCGCATCAACAGAAATCTCGCTGCCAGGTTTCTGCCAATAGTTTAACTGCAGCTTTCTAAAAGTATAAACGCCCAGCTTTTTTCTGTTCCACTTATTTTGTCAGAACTGTTGTCATCAGTAATTATTGTACTTATCTTCCCTTTTAGATCGCTGCTGATGTTGTGGATGCTGTCAGAAAAACATTTCTGGTTGTAGTGAAGCATAGCTCTGAAGGTAATGTTGAACAAATGTAAACTTTAGTTAAAGGTTAAATTCACCCAAACATGATTTTTTTTTTTAGTAAATACTCGTCCTTATGTTGCTCCAATCCACTGAGATATTCATCTGCAGAACAAAATATTAAGATATTTTAGAGACAATCTGAGAGCTTCCTCGTCCTCCATAGACAGCAGCTTTCCTGAAAAGGAACTAAAACATTATCAAAACATTCATGTGACTTCAGTGGTTCACATGTAATCACACAAAGCACCAAAAACACTTTTGTGTGCCAAAAAAAAAACACTGTAGAAATGACTTTAATTAATAAAGAAGGTGTACAAACACATAAATGCACACACACTCATTGTTTGTAGTATTTATTTATTTATTTTTAATATTGGAGTAGTCAGCCAAACCAAACAAGTGAGCAGCACTCGCTTATGAAGTCAAATATTTATTTGAAGCACAACCAAGGCTTACCAAAGTGCTGAACATACAGTAGGAGTACTAAAAACAGAGAAGAAAGCAGAATATGAAAGAAACATTTTACAAATATTAGCAATAAAACAGTGATCAAGGAGTATTAAAAGTGAAAGAATATATATATATATATATATATATATATATATATGCAGAAGGTCTTTAAAACGGACTTAAAAGAAAACAGTTGTTGTTGTAATATGTTATGTGTACTGTTAAGATACTGGGTATGTTTTGTGTTTACAGTCTGAGATTTATTTTTGCACTGCCAGTCAAAACTTTGTCCGTCACTCTATTCATCCTTCTGTTTGTCCATCCCTCCATACATCCCTCTATTTGACCATCCCTCCATCCATCCTTCTATTTGTCCAGCCCTCTGTACATCCCTCTATTTGTCCAGCCCTCTATAAATCCTTCTATTTGACCATCCCTCCATCCATCCCTCTATTTGTCCATCCCTCAATCTATCCTTCTATTTGTCCATCCCTCCATCCATCCTTCTATTTGTCCATCCCTCAATCTATCCTTCTATTTGTCCATCCCTCCATCCATCCTTCTATTTGTCCATCCCTCCATCTATTCTTCTATTTGTCAATCCCCCCATACATCCCTCTATTTGTCCATCCCTCCATCCATCCTTCTATTTGTCCATCCCTCCATCTATCCTTCTATTTGTCCATCCCTCCATCCATCCTTCTATTTGTCCATCCCTCCATCTATTCTTCTATTTGTCAATCCCCCCATACATCCCTCTATTTGTCCAGCCCTCTATCCATCCTTCTATATGTCCATCACTCAATCCATCCTTCTATTTGTCCATCCCTCCATCCATCCTCATATTTGTCCATCCCTCCTTCTATTTGTCCATTCCTCCATCCATCCTTGTATTTGTCCATCCCTCCATCCATCCTTATATTTGTCCATCCCTCCATCCATCCTTCTATTTGCCAATCCCTCCGTACATCCCTCTATTTGTCCAGCCCTCTATCCATCCTTCTATTTGTCCATCACTCAAACCATCTTTCTATTTGTCCATCCCTCCATCCATCCTTATATTTGTCCATCCATCCTTGTATTTGTCCATCCCTCCATCCATCCTTATATTTGTCCATCCCTCCATCCATCCTTCTATTTGTCAATCCCTCCATCCATCCTTCTATTTGTCCATCCCTCCATCCATCCTTATATTTGTCCATCCCTCCATCCGTCCTTCTATTTGTCCATGCCACCATAAATCCTTCTTCTCTCCAAGGCTGCATTTATTTGATCCAAAACACAATAGTGAAACATTATTATAATTTCTATTAATAACAATTTTCTCATTGAATGTAGTTTCAAATGTAATTTATTCCTGTAATTCAAAGCTGAATTTTGAAGACTCCATTCCTCAGTTTGCATTATCCTTTATAAATCATTATAATATGACGAATTGCTATTCTATTATGATTATTGGTACAAAATCACTAATAATGATCCTTATGAAACGTATTAATGAAACTGATAGATTTTACTTTTAGGATACTTTGATTCAAAAAGGAAAGTTCAACATAATAGCTTTTATTTGCAGGCTTTTTTAAACCTAAATGTATTTAGAAAGTAAAAAAATAAATAAATAAATAAAATAAATATATATATATATATATATATATATATATATATATATATATATATATATATATATATATATATATATATATATATTCTATATATACAAATATATATATATATGTTCTTAGTTTGTTTATGGTATTTGTCGTTTTTTGTAGTTTTGTCATGTAAGTGTAGTTTCCCAGTGTGGTGCTGAGTTCTGGCGGTACTAAGGGTATCTGCTGTTTAAAACATATGTCAGAGTAGTTGGTGGTTCATTCCGCAGTGGCAACCCCTGATTAATCAGAACTAAGCTGAAGGAAAATGAATGAATGTGTATACTACCACCAAAGCAATATTTACATTTTGCTCTTCTGGCTCATTGGCAATGAAGAAAGAAGAAATAAAATTCTTGACTGAACTGATCCTTTCAGGACACGTTTAATGATGAGCATAAAAAAATGTCAAAAATTTGCCTGAAGTGCATGCATTAACTGCGGGTGGAGCAGTAGTCAGGCAGCTTTTATAGAGGTAACACCCGCTAAATGTCTTAATGTGTTTACTCTGTTTCCACTCTCACATTCAGAGCCGCCGGCTTCACAGTTGACCGACAGGCCTTCATTGATGGTGCTGCTGTCTGTAGGAGTCCTGCTGGCTGCAACCGCAGTGCTCGCCTTCACCATTTTCTACAAGAAAAGAATAAAAAAGAAAGAAGCCAAATTAAGACCAGGTTTGAGCTTTATAACTATAAGTATGCATTGGCTAAAGTATAAGTTCTTTTTGACATTGTGTTCTCCCTTTTATTTAGCCATAAATATAGTTGGAAAGTGTTTGAATGCCAACGGTGCTATTGAACTGTTTTTTTTTATCTTTTTGGCAGAGATTGCAGAACAGTACTATAACAAAAAAACTGAAAGTGAAGGAAAATGTGTTTTGTTGGACAAAAGCATGCGCCCCCCTCGCCTCCTGATCTGCTACTCTAGCAACGATGGTCCTGCACATGTCAGGGTTGTGCTGCAGCTGGCTGCTTTTCTGCAAAGGCACATGGCCACTCAAGTAAGCTTTTCATTTAGAAGCATGTTAAGATTACAATAAAACATTTAATTATGTAATATGCCATCTTTGAAAGGTCATTAAACACAAAGATTTTAAGTAACAGTTTATGAAGTTCTGTATGTTATTATTGGTTGACTCATTCAATCGTTATTAAAAATAAGCAAAAAATGTATTCCATCATTTTTTTATTGATTACATTATTTCCTTTTGATGTATTAATGATGTATAAGTAAGTTATCAAATTACCATTTCCTAAGAGTAGAAGTGCTATATATATATGTCTGACAGTACTAAACGTGAACTATTTTAGGTCTGTTAGGATTACCTAAATGATGGACATTTGCTAAGCGCCAGAATAATGAGAGAATTTTTTACAATTATTTTCTAGACAGTCAAAAGTTTACATACATTTCTTTGGTATTTTGTTTGCTTTGCTTTTAAACTGAATAACTTTGGTCAAATGTTTTGGGTATCCTTCCACAAACAATAGTTTGAAGGAACTTTGGCCCATTCTTCCTGACAGAATTGGTGTAACTGAGTCAGATTTGTTGGCTGTCTTGCTCGCACAAGCTTTTTTAACTCTGCCCACAAATTTTCTTTAGGATTGAGATCAGGGCTTTGTGATGGCCACTCCAAAACATTTACTTTGTTGTTCTTGTTGTTGTTTTCCTTGTTTAAATCAGGCGTTGCTTATTTTTATTGTTTATTCGTAATATGGAATTTAATCGTAAGTTAGTAGTTTTTGAGAATCTAATGTCTATGCATACTGCATAAAACAGCAAAAGAACAATGTAAGACTCTTTCATAACCCTTCAGTTGTTTTTAGTTAGTTTTAAAGCGCTGGTACACAGTGTATTTTTAAGGCTTGGTTGTGTTTATAAGATGCAAAGCAATGTATGCTCATGCTTCACTTGTAGATAATCACATGATTATTTCATATATCATATATACTTTAATTATATACAGCTACTTAGCTAACATGAAAACGACCGTCATATTTCCTACAAGCACGTGCTTTTGTGCTGTGTAAACAGTAGCTGAATCAGACAGAAATGAAGAGCACACAGCTGAACCTCACGTCTGTTCTCTAAAATAAAATTTGACAAGTGTCTTTTACATATGTTTGGGTTATAAGACTGTGTAAGTTATGTGATGCATTTACATATCTTTTGCGAGTTGGTTATTTGAGAACCGAAAGCGTCCGCATAGAGACCCACTGCAGCGCTGCTGAAGATTGTGGCTTGTTACAGTGGGCTGACTGATAAATATGAAATGTAGCTAAGTGTGGTTTATTTATAAACAAATTTTGAGGGGATCACATCACATGCTTATGATTAAACACAGCTGGTTCTGCATCAGCTCCATATATTGCACCAATCAGGCGAATACTGACACTCTATACATTACCAGAGCTTCCTACTCTAGTCATCTTCATCTTGAAGAAACCCCTCTTCCACCCCTACTCCTCCCCTTCTCTGATAGGGCAGCACGACAGCCCAGTGGTTAGCACTGTTTCCTCACAGAAAGAACGCTGCTGGTTCGGCCCTCTCCAAGCCAGTCTGCGTTTCTGTGCAGAGTTCGCATGTTCTCCCCGTGTTCACGTGACTACTTCTAAATAGCACCCTAAGGCAACTCCAGTCAAATTTATCTCAGCAGTTCACAAGCAGGGGAGTTCTTGAGACCTACCTGAGCTCAAACTCTCCTCTCACCCTTCAAACGGGAGTGAGCCGTGGGCTTAAAGATATTCTGAACTCAGGCCTCTCTCCCAGGACAGCATGCCAAATACGCTTTATTATCAATCATCAGCTAAGTGTGAACTCTTGAAATTGTTAGTGGTGCCAAACAGCATTTCCCGTTGTTTACATCCTAGTTTACGTCCTTGCTACAACATACCGTTAACTCTAGAAACTCTGCATGTAATAGATCAATTTTACCAAATAAAAACACAGGTTGTGGCTCACAATCCACAGCTTCGCCGGTTAGAGGAGTCTTGAGCTGAATGCAGCAGTGAACTTCCATCTTCCATATTTCTATAACAATTGTTTTCCATTCTTCCAAAATGGGAGAGGTTAATAGAATAGTTTGCGTGTTATATCAAATATCTAATATTTTAAATTCTTCACCTCAAATTTATCTCCATTAATAATATATATTTTTCCTGTTCAGGTGCATTTGGACCTGTGGGAGGCCCTGGGCATTATGGAGGAGGGCCTTATGGGTTGGCATTGCAGGATAATGAAGGAGTGTGACTTTGTTCTGGTCATCTGCTCTCGAGGTCTCCTTCAGAACCAGATCAACCAGTCCGACGATGAGGAACCATTGGAGAACACCACCTTAGCTGTGGTTTCTATGATCGGAGAACAGCTGTGCTATGCCAAAGCTCTGGGTCATGACCTTTCCAAATACATGGTGGCCATATTCGAGTACTCGCAAGAGTCTGATATCCCAGCAGCGCTGAGTCTGGCTTCAAGATACACCCTGACTAAAGACTTCCCTTTGCTCTTCTCTCATCTTCATGGAGTGGCTTTGCAGAAGCCTGGAGCTTATCTGCAGGTGGAGAACATTTCAGAAAGGGGCTATTACAAACTGCCGACTGGAGCTACACTACAGCTGGCCATCCAGGAAGCCAAAGCACAGTTCTCTGAAGAGGAGCATGGAGGAAATCCAATCATTTCATAAGAATGGCAATAATAGATGCAATCATAACACCGTAATCCAACACCCCGTCCATTTAAACGTATAATCCATATGATAAGCTGCTTTTCCACAATCATGCCGAATGGTTGTCAGGTATGGTTCCAGTCAATTTTTGCGCATGAGCCTGGTATGATTACAAACCTTTCTCATCTGCAAATTCTAATGCTGGTTTGAAATCACATGACTACCCTACAACACTAGCACTCTTTAATTGACTGTGAGATGTTGTACTTTGACAGCTGATATGATGTCCATATTTAGAAAATATACTTTTCTGATATTATATCATCAAGGAGAAAGTCCAAATGTGGCAATATAATACCAACTTTACCTCAATCCTACCTGTGTCAGTTGCGTCGCTTCATTCCCATTCAAAAATTCTCTCCTGTGACCTTATGGGATAATACAGAGATGTACAAACAAGGGCCAAGGATGGCCCATAGTAAGCTTTGATTTGACCCACCATCTCATCTGAAAAGAGAATGATGGGGATCATTGGGGAGAATCTCTATAACAGAGATAGCCATTTTAAACTAAAGGGCACCTAGTTTACCCCTTTTCTAAGAATTATTTTTAATATTAAGGTTTTTCTGAGTGTGCCAGTTTAGGTTCAGTTCAAAACAGAGTTTAGATTTTTATATTATAATGTGTTAACAAGTGTCATTTTGGGGGTGTGTACACAGCTCGCTTTTTTAGGGGCGTGTTGTTTCACATGAAAATTAGTTTCAACTTCCTGCCCAACTTAACAAGGGGACGGAGACAGGCAGACAGAGAGAAGCAACATGAGTGAGAGGACCAGCATTCAGCTGTACATGTAAAACTCGAAGACAGACCAAGCAGAGAGTACAAAGTCATTTGTGTCTTTGTATAGTTTTACAGCCAACTGTGTGCTAGTTTAAAGTTCCGAGCTTGTACACTGCTTGCACATTTGCATGTTATTTAAAATGAAACTATTCAGTTGGCGCTTTGTTGTAGAAATATGAACAGTGTCCTGAGTCATGGCTGGGCGCCGCGGACAGCCGCCAACTTGCGGCGTCGTTGTGTGTATCCTGATAGAAACCTATGTTTAGAATTCTAGAATGCATGGCGCTGCACATCGCCAAGTGGTACTTCTGATGTGCGACCTGCTTAAGGCAAGTTCATTTTTCCAATGGAGAGACACGCACGTGAGACAACGTGCACGCACTTTCCAGCTGCACCTAGTTAAGATTCAGTGAGCTTCTGTGTCCGCGGTAAAAGCAAACGGCTGAAGTTTAAGGAAGACGCTATGAAAAGTACACGTTTGCAAACCCACCTAAAGTTACAGACAATGGCGCCAATGAGAGCGATCATGTGGTGAATGTTGATCTTGTGTTGAGCCCAATGAGCCTTGCATCTAAAAATAGAGCAAGGGTGTTTCTTTGGTGACATCGCTTTGACTCACATGCTGAAAATGGCAGACGTGACACAACAAACTGAGGATATGGTAATGCACACCTGTCAATCAATATTGGTGGGCGGGGGGACTGCACTCCTACGTCAAGTTGCGGTCAATCTCAAAACTGCTCCAATTGGTCCAACGTTTTTATGTTGTTTAATTGAAAAAAAAAGACTGTGTGTGTTTATATCACCCCAATATGACGGTCTACACACTATACCTACACACATGTCTGTCCACGCAGCTTGAAAAGTAGATTTTTCACCATAGGCGCCCTTTAAACGTTTTATAGTTTTATAGCAAACTGAAATTAAGCGTTTCGATTAAAAGTTGTAAATGATTCCAATTTTTTAATAATGTAAATACTTTCGACTAAAATGCACATAACATCACAAGCAAATTAATGCAAAAGCTTGACTTGTGTTGCTATTTGGCATTAAACTCCATCGTGTAATTAATAGAATTGTTTTTGTTTTTACTGTAATAAGTTTATTATAAATATTATCTTTTAAATTATACTGCAAAAGGGCAATGTGGGGGTGCAGTAGGTAGAGCTGTCGCCTCACAGCGAGAAGGTCGCTGGTTCGAGCCTCGTCTGGGTCAGTTTGGTGTTCTGAGTGAGATTGCATGTTCTCCCCGCGTTCGTGTGGGTTTTTTCCGGATGTTTCGGTTTCTCCCACAGTCCAAAGACATGCGGTACAGGAGAATTGGGTAGGCTAAATTGTCTGTAGTGTATGAGTGTGAATGAGTATAATATTTATTGTCCATATTGCCATTTACATTACAAGTGCATTAACAAGTGATGCATTTGTATTACATTCCAAAGAGGTCTGTTATCAGCACCACATTGGAAAATTATATTTTTGGTGACCCATAGACGATTAAAGGTACCATAGAGTGCAATGACTAACTAAGTTAAACTCGGCAGAAATGGTTGTGCTCATTTATAACCACAGGAACTACACCTTGAATTTAAAGTTGGGTTTTTATTATTTTTGAAGCACTCTTTGGTGCGTGCTCGCACTCTCTCTCTCTTACACACACACATGCAAAACAATCAATTATAAAAATTATATTCTACAAAAGGGGCAGACAGAGATGTATTTAAGTGTTGTATTTTTTTAAGCTTTAACACATCTCAAAACATAGGCAGGAATTATTATTGACCTCTACATAAACATGAGAGTTTCTTTCCCTGCTGAAAAAATCACAATAAGAACTAAAGAAATTAATCAGCTTACTTGTGTCTGTTACTAACATAAGCAGTCATTTTTACAGTATACATGTTAAACTAACAAGAGATATACGTCAACAGACCAAATGACTCTTGGGGGTGGCGCTGAATAAATTTTTAATCTGTATATCCTGCATTTTACATTTTGACTGCATGACAAATCTCCTTTTTAGTCTTCCTGCCTCTCCCGTTTTCAAAATAAGAGTTTCACATACATAGCACGTTCAATAAAGAACTACATAAACGGTAAGATTGGGGAGGGGGAAATTATGAATGTCATAATCTTACTAGACAACAATGTTGCCAATTAAACGCAGCCTGGGATGATATTAAGGATCCTGTGTGAATGAAAGTTTGTGTTTTGTTTTAATTGGCCATTTTTCACATGGATTTACACTCACAGAATGTCATTTCCATGTACTAAACTCGTATCATTCAGTTATCTGCTTAAGTATATTCAGACTTTCATTCTATGGCACCTTTAACATAAGTGAACCATTCGACCAGATTAAAACGGGCGATTGACGTGCACTAGACAGTTTAATCTTTGTCTGGTGGCTGTTTTTTTTTTCTCTGCAAAAGATAAACAATATGTATGTATTTAAAGTTAAGCAGCATGTATCGTTTAATCCAATAATACAATCACTGATTAACATGTATATTTTTATTGGTCATTTTCAGTAGCATTCAGTTGTTTTTTGTGTTCGATCTTCCAAAATAACAATTCATTTTAATGGATTATATGTTAAAGGGATGACAGATATTTGCAACGCTGGCTTAAATGAGTATATGAGATTTAATTTTAGAGAGAAGGTGGGCAAGTATAAATAATTAAGCTGCGCAAATCATAGGATCGCAAAAACAAGCAAAGCTGATGATGATCGGCTTCTGGTGCACGCTGTTCGTAAATCCACAAGTGTGTTACTTGGGAACAGTTGCTTGGAAGAAAGCACACAATGTCAATGGAGGAAGATAACTAATGCACAATAAATACGGGCTCAAACCCCTATTCAGAAAACGGCCACAATGTCATGTACATTCCTCATGCTAACATTCACAACCCCTTAGCAACCACATTAATAGATAAGTAATTAAGATTGTGGAATAGGGAATCTGAAGTATATTGAGGTTGCTGAATGCTGTGAAAGATATTTTTTTAACATGAGTGTGTATTTATTTTGCATTAATTGCAGAGGTGCTGCTTATGTTCTTGAATGTTACAGTACATATTCCAAGTGTTTGCATGCACCTTCATTTGGTGTCTACTACAATCAAAAAAAAAAAAAAAAAAAAAAGGACACTTTTTTTATTTATTTAATCTTTTCATGACATTAAACTGTGTTATTTGTATTTACTTTTGTAATACTGTATATGGCATGTTGGTTTCTTATAAGTTTGTGTGTTATGATGCAATTGTTTGTATTACATGAAGGGAACCTTTTATATTTTAGTTTTGACAAAATACCTCTTAATGTCAGTGCGTGACTTAATATGCACAGCTTTTCATGTCTTTTTCAATGTGTAATATTGTTCATGCCAAAGTTTAAACCGTACTGCTTGGCATCTGTTTTTTTAAATAAAACCTAACCTTACATAAATTGCTTAGGAAATGTATGATCTTGATGTGTTGTGTGAATGAAATTGTATTGCTTTTATTAAAGAGCGCAGTGTATTTATCCTTTATTTTACTGTAATAAGATGTTTGGCTTTTGGTGTATAATCCAAAACAGCTGTCTGTTTACAAAATACCGCTTGTTAGGAAGCCTTGATTTATGAATCATAGGCTTAGAAGGCAACAGGAACAATTTATTACATAAAATAGTTTTTCTTCCATTTGATCATTAGCAGGAAACTTAAAGACAACAGCTCTCTGTGTTACAGTAAACAATCGTAAATTCCTTCACCTATAAATCTTGTAAAATCTTGCCAAAGCTAGCCAAGAAAGCTGATATATTTCCCCCCACTTCCCCCATGATTGCGAGCAATTTAGAAGGAAATGTTTTGCTTTGTGCTCCACTAACGCGTATGTTTACTGTTGAATGTTCCCATAAACTGACAATTCTAAAATCCCACTGGAACTGTAATTTTATTATGTCCATTAATGAGCTAAAATCGAACACAGAGTCTGATTAGTTTACCTGCAAAAACTCAAATATGGGAACTGGAGAAAACAAGATTCACCTTGAACGTTGAACTTACTGACCAGAAAAAGATTAATTCTTATACATTTTGAAGATTTGTTTTTTAGGCTAGAGAGTGTCACGATTATATCCTTAATTAAACATGTGCCAATCCAACTCCGTTATAAAAAGTCATTTAAATCCAATATTATTTGGAAATATGAGCTTCATTTTAGTGTTCGTTCACCCAAAACTGAAAATTGTTATTAATTACACCTCACCCTAATGTCACTCCCCAGTTCCCTGAGACCTTCATTCACCTCCAGAAGAAAAATTAAGATATTATTGAAGAAATTTAAGATTTCACTCATCTTACACAGCAATGCTCCCAACTCAAAATCCAGAACGGTGTACGTCGCTCCTCAGTGCTCATGACCATGCGCAATATGAGGAGACACTGAGGAGAAGACTCTGTTAAATAAAATTATTTTTGTTTAATGTGCACACAAAAAATTTGTACATATTTATAGCGCTTTTCAATCACTCAAAGCACTTTATATAATGGCAATTTACACAGCCAGACCACACAACACACACCAGCTGATTTGTGGAGAGGAGACAGAGTGATGAAGCCAATTATGATATGGTGATGGTTAGAAGGTCATGATGGACAGAGGCCAGTGGGCAAATTTGGCCAGAAGGCCGGGATTAAACCCCTACTCTTTTTGAAGGACATCCTGGAGAGTCAGGTTTAACATCTCATCCGAAAGAAGGTGCTCACTGAGCAGTATAGAGTCCCCATCAATATACAGGGGCGTTAAGACCCACACAGACCGCAGGTTGAGTTCCCCACTGTTGGCCTCACTAACTCCACTTCCGGCAGCAACCTAGCTTTACCATGTAATCTCCCATCCAGTTTCTGACCTGCATCAGTGGGCAACCATGTGAAAGTTGCAGAGAGCTAGCTGCTATTGAACCACTAAAGACATTTGGTCTGTTTTGAGATTTATTTTGTATCTTTTTGGACTTCGAGAGTCGTGAATCTTACTGTATTTGGAGCCATGTGAAGACCAACAAATGTCTCAATGGTTTGGAATTAGTAAAATCAATAACATGATTTTCCAGCACAAAAAAAAACCCTGCTGGAAAAAAAAACTGCCTAAGCGGATTAGCTGGTTTTAGCTGGTCGACCAACCTGGTTTTAGAGGGGTTTTGGCCATTTCTATGGGCTAGGAGTGGGAGATGACCACCTAGCCAGCCTGGTCAGGACTGAGGTAAAGTTGGTGTTATATTCGCACATTCTCCTTACTAATATAATATTATTTCAGAATAGTAAAATTCGCAAATTCTAAATATAGAAATCATATGAGCAGCAAATGATTATCAAAGTGGCGTCATGGTGGCGAAGTGTGTAGCATGATCGCCTCACAGCAAGAAGGTCGCTGGTTCGAGCTGGCTGGGTCAGTTGGCATTTCTCTGTGGAGTTTGCAAAACCCTCTGTGTTCACGTGGGTTTTCTCCGGGTGCTCTGGTTTCTCCCTCAGTCCAAAGACATGGTATTGGTGAATTGGGTACGCTAAATTGTCCGTAGTGTGAATGGATGTTTTACAGTATTGGGTTGCAGCTGGAAGAGCATCTGCTGCGCAAAACATATCCTGGGTAAGTTGGCGGTGCATTCCACTGTGGCGACCCCTGATTAGTAAAGGGGCTAATCTGAAAAGAAAATGAATGAATGACTATAAAAGTACCAAATTGCTTACAGTCAAATAGTGCTAATGTTGTTTTGAAGTCATATTTAAATGAGATATCTGACACACTATAATTAGCGTGTGGTAAACAATATAGGGACCGTTTAAATGAACTGTGCGAATATAAAACCAACTTTACCTCAAGCTGGTTTTAGCTGGTCATCTCCCAGAATGGCCAGGTAAGACCTGTAAATGGGCAAAACTCCTCTAAAACCAGCCAACTAACTTAGACTGGTTTAATTATTTTTGCCAATATTATGTAATTAACATTATAGAATAAAATAAAAGCATAATTCTCAAAAATCTTCTATAATAAATGATTTTTACTTCAGCACGGTTGAGTGATGAGTATGCATAAGCTCTCTAGCGCCTCCTCTCCATATTCCTCCACACTTTTTGGATTTTCCTTTCCTCCTCCATTCATCCGCACCGCGCACCTCGTCTACAGGCATAATGGTGCTCGATTTAGACCTGTTTCGCACCGACAAAGGCGGCGATCCTGAAATTATCCGGGAAACTCAGAGGAAACGGTTCAAAGATGTGTCTCTGGTGGATAAACTGGTCCAGGCGGACACAGAATGGAGAAAATGTGAGTGAAGGCTAACGCTAAAGCTAATGTAACACATGGCAGCCTGTGAATGAGAACAGATTGTGACACCTTTAACCGATTAATTATTTAAGATCATGACTATATCATGGGAAATACACACTTACGGTGTCATGTCACGTAGTAACTAATATAAAATGTGTCGAAATGAGCAGAAACCGCATTACCGGTGTTCTGGAATAGCATGTAGCATTGATGCTAATGGATAAACCAGCTGTCATACTATGCTTAATCTTACTCATTTCAGTTCATAAAATTAGTATGTGTTTATTGAGCGTAATATATGTTTATAGCATGGTATTTGGATGTTGTGAGGTATAAGTATGTATTGATTAAATCTGTCGCAGCAGCATCATCCGGCTGGATCTGATGCAATCTCTGTCAGAGGAGGAGCTGCTGACTGTCAGCACTGTTCTCATGTTAGTGCTTTACCATGTTAATTACTATGACAAGATGACCGATTGGAAATTGAATGTTTGATTACTTTATACCTATCTAAAAAAAATTAATAATAAAAAAATCAAAGAATTAAGACATTTCAACGTAGTATTGTCACATATGTTACATGATAACAAAGGAACCAGGGATGCCTTAAGGGGACACTTCGCCAAAAAATAAAAATACTTGCCTGACAAGACATTCAAGATAATTTTTTTCCTTTTGTTTTTCCTTGATTATTTAACTGGCTCTTTAATAAATTAACAAATAACTAATAGTAATTATATATATATATATATATATATATATATATATATATATATATATATATATATATATATATATATATATAAGCATGTAAAGGCAAATCCTCTCTGTCTGGCGTTGTAAACAAACAGCATCAGCTCATGTCATTACAGACTATTATGAACACAGTCATATTTTCTAAGTCTGTGAATTAAATTAATAATGTTCGCCAGGAGTCATGGATATTAATTGCATTTTGCCTTTAGATTCTGAAAGTGTTTGCTCTTGTCTTGCAGTTTAATATTACAATGAAAAAAAGCAAACACACACGCAAATATATATATATATATATATATATATATATATATATATATATATATATATATAATACACACACATACATATATATGTATGTATGTGTGTGTGTACATAAATGAATAAAATTTTGTATATATGGATATTTAATTTGTTTATCAACATAGAAGATGTTTCAGTTTTCAGAACTGATTGGTGTAGTATTCCCCAGTATATTGATGGGGACTCTATACTGCTCGGTGAGCACCGTCTTTCAGATGAGATGTTAAACTTGACTCTCTATGGTCATTAAAAATTCCAGTTTTCAAAAGAATAAAAATCTTAAAATGTACACAACTTATAAAAAAAAGCATCCCATAACATAAATAAGTTGTCAATTAATAAGAATATGTCAATAACTTAATTTTGACAAAAATATCAGATAGAACCTTATAAATCTAAGGTGACTATATGTATGTCTGTATGTATGTATGTATGTATGTATGTTTGTATGTAATGACAAACCTGTTGCAGCTTGTGGCATAATTTCACATTTTCTCTCTGAATCATCAAAACACAATTTGACAGATCTGACATCTCTCCTGGTGTTATCAAAACATTACAATTACTCTTGCCAGACCACTTGTCAGTAAATCAGTGACACTGACGAAATATTTTTTGCCTCCAGGTCGTTTCACAGCAGATAACCTTAACAAGGCCAAGAATCTCTGCAGCAAATCCATCGGTGAAAAGATGAAGGCATGTAAAGCAGCTGTAATATTTTTTTGATATTTTGTCATTAAGTTTTAATAATGACTGCTATTAAGATGTTTATTTTCCTGTGATTTTGCAGAAGAAAGAGCCAGTAGGGGATGATGACACTCTTCCAGAAGAGGCTCAGAATCTGGAAGCCCTCACTGCAGAAACGTTATCGGTATGATATATAGAAGAATAATTCATTTAAATTCAAACTAAATATTGCAACAACAACAACAACCAAAATCTGCCAAATTACATGCAATTTTTGGTTTCTTTAGGTTTTTCCCGCTCTATTGAAGTTTTGTTTAAGATTATTTTTCCTTACATTTTCAGCTCAAATACCCCAGAAATACTATTTTATAATTCTGGAAGGATTATAAAACACTTAGGCTTTGATCCTAATTGTGCCATTTTGGTGACTGTCGCTTTAAATTGAAATGAGATTGTGTTTTTTTCAAAAGAGGACGGAGCCCCAAGTCTAGGGGAAAACAACATGGGCATAATAAACTGAATAACTAATGTGTTGGGATGTCGGATTTCCCAAACAAAACAAAAACTTAATGCAAAAGATCCCCTTCGGTCGACAACCAAACTTGGACACTCAGTTGAGAGTAATTAAATAGATTTATTTTAGAAAAAAAAGTAGCAAATTTAAATGAGCTCCTCTTTAGGGTGGCCACAGGCCAAACTAACAAACAAAATAATCTATGAACTAAATTACCTATACCTATATTACCTATATTTTTAAAGAAAGGTACAGGAAGCTTACCTTTCTCCCTAAACAAAAACATATTCAAAAGTAATCAAATAAATAGGCAGGCCACCTCTACACGCTTAAACTCAAAAGAAGTCGAACGTATGAACAATGGTACAAAATCAGGGCTCGAAATTGGGACCATTTTGGTCGCATATGCGCCTGAAATTTAATCTATGTGACCTTAAAATATATTTGGGAGCATTTGTGCGACTGCAAATAATGGGTGTAATGCGACCTGTTTTGATTTTTCTTTTTTAAATGTGCTGAATCGCTCTTCCCTGCCGCTGTATTGGTTCATATTGCTCATAAACTGCGGCTTAAAACAGAGCAGGCATCGCAATAGTCCTACTCATATATTGGGTCGGCTGACTCGCCTGCTTTTCCAATAACACAGAAAATTGTAAATCAGCTCATAACGAGACTAAGCATTTAAAATGACACAAAGTAAAAAACAAAACTTTTAAAGAGTGGTACAAGTGAGACTTTTCTTTATTTCTTTTGTCTATTTTTTTTCTTGAGATGTATATTATATTTCTATTTAGTTACTGATGACCTATTTGCAGTTTTCAGCATCAAATTGAATGATTTATTATAATCTTTCGTTTGTTTTGTCGCAGAAATATTATTTATTAAACTGCCATGTATATAAAAACAATAGCACAAAATAATTATTTCTTACTGCTTACTGCAATTTTTATTTGATGTACACCATTTTTTTCATAAAGTAACAGACATTTTATAGCAGATAACTTACATTCAAGCACATTCAAAGCAGCATGATAATGAGAAATGTAATTCATTGTTACTATTATTGTCATTGTCATCATCATTTATATCCTATAATTATTAGACATGCGTTTTGGAATTATTGCACAGATATCAAGTCATCTCAGCATTAGTTAGATAGTCGTATCTGGTTTTGTAAGTCCTATTGATCTTGTTTTAAAATACAATATATCTCCTAAAATACAATTTGCAGTGGTGCTCATTTATTTTTGGTTGGTGCTCCTAAATTTTTTCTGGTGCTCCTTAATTTTTTTGGTGCTCCTAAATATTTGAATTTGGGAGCACCGGTGCTACCAAGTAAAAAAGTTAATTTTGAGCCCTGAAAATTGAATGTTGGTCTTCGGCCGGAGGGGTAAGGGGAATCCAGGAGCTCCACTGCCAGCAACAATCACAGCACAAATGAGCTCCCGAACTCTGCTGGAAGCTCCTCTTTATACAGGCCTCCGAGACAAGGAGCAAATCAGAGCATGAATCACGCTGAAATGGGAGCCTATGGGATTACAGAAAAAAAGCAAGAAGCTGGGACAAAGAAAAAGACATGCAATACGCAATAAAAAATAAATAATAAACTTTAGTCATTACAGCGGAGCTACAAATGCCTGTGTGTCAGCATAGTGACAGGATCAAAAACAAGACTAACGTCCTATGCTAATGAGGGAGAGATGGTCACTAATGGGTGGGGCTTTTCCCCTCTGATGACATATACAAAGGGAGAATGTCAATCAAAGGGTTTAAGCAAAGGGTTTCAGACTTAAAAGCTGGCTGTGTTCACACACTATGGTCTCACAACTGTTCTTAAAGCTTTTAGAAAAGTGATTTTTGCGTAATAGGTCGCCCTTTAAAGAATTTTCATTAAAATAAGTGCAGTTTTTTCAGTTTATGAGAGAGTCATGAAATTAAAATGTTTAACAAGTTTCACAAAAATATTATGCAGCACAATTGTTTTAGCATTAATCAGCATTTTTGTGTGATTTGTAAAGAAAAAATGATAATAGTTTGCAGTAAAACTGTTAATTGTGTATATTTGACCTCAAGAAATGCAGCTTTGGTGATCATAAAAGACCTTTTCTAAAAGCAAAAAAATGATCTGTCATGTTAAGATATAATATAAAACCCAATAAACAATTATCCTTTCTCTCTTTCCTGTCCCCGGCAGCCGCTTACTGTGACTCAGATAAAGAAAGTGCGGGTTCTGGTGGATGAGGCTGTGCAGAAGACAGACAGTGACCGGCTGAAGCTGGAGGCAGAGCGCTTTGAGTATCTGCGAGAGATCGGCAACCTCCTACATCCCTCTGTGCCCATCAGCAACGATGAGGTGAGTTTCAGCCACAGTCGCAATTTTCACAAATACAGCGGAGTCCTGCAAATCAGCAACTATTTTAATTATTTAGCCTGACAGGTTTACTGTTCCAAAATATTACAAATGTTTCTTTAAAGAGAGACAATATACAGGAGACAAATATACATGAAATACTTTAAGACAATAAATAATACAGTACTAAAAACATCAAAGTAGTACATTCTTGGTATGCAGCAACTTTTTTATTTTGCCTTTTTTGGCAAAAATAATAACACTTCTCCTAAATTTTGCCTTTTTTGGCAAAAATAATAACACTTCTCCTAAATTATTGCCTGTTTTGTCTTTAAATATAACTTTTATATATATTTACTATATTTTGGCTTTAAATATTTCAAGAATCTTGACTGAACTGTTAATCTCAATCTATTATGCTGTAACTTGCCTTGAATACTCTTTTTCACAAAATTTACTACTTATAAACACATCTTATACTTGTTTAAAGTACAGTAGCAGGTATGCATTATTACCTCTTACTATTACTATTATTATTATTGTTGTTGTTGTTAATACATATCTCCATTAAACAGCGTCCCTGTTCAGTGCTGAACAAACAAAATAGTGCAAAAGTGATTCAAAGCACACATGCAAGCTGCTTCGACATTGCATGCATGGTTACAAAATTCCTGTACACAATGCAGCTTTAACAAAAGGACAAATTGACATTGTTACTTTCAGTTTACGGATTTAAAAATGTAGATTTTTAAGTTCTTCATATAAAGCAGCAGGTTTCCAATCTTCTATTTCCTGCATTTCCTTTTTAGTCAACAGCTCAGAAAGATATATTTTGGTCCAGTCCAGTACATGCTGGTCATACAGGTATGGCACTGGGTTATGGAACCAACCCTACAAAAGGAGACTACGGTAAAATGGTGTTTACTTTCCCAGGATGCTGATAATAAAGTGGAGCGCACCTGGGGTGACTGCACGGTGCAGAAGAAGTACTCTCATGTGGACCTGGTCGTCATGGTTGATGGATATGAGGGGGAAAAAGGAGCCATTGTTGCTGGAAGCAGAGGATACTTTCTCAAGGTTTGATGCCCATTAACTAGAAATTACTTCTTTTTTGTATTGTCAAACTGTGCTTTTGAATTTAATTATACAAAGTGTGCCTTTTTTGAGTAAATTAAATCTAAATATCTGTACTCTAAACATGTGGACACCATTTGGCCTTGTATATTATTTACAACCTTATAATGTTCTTTCAAAAAAAAAAATAACACTACACATTATTTTTTATTGTTGTTGCTCATGTGTTTTATTTCAGGGGCCTTTAGTGTTCTTGGAGCAAGCTTTGATTAACTATGCGCTGCGGATCCTGTACAGCAAGAACTACAACCTCCTGTACACACCCTTCTTCATGAGGAAAGAAGTCATGCAGGAGGTCGCTCAGCTCAGCCAGTTTGACGAGGAGCTCTACAAGGTGTGTCACCTGTCTCTCTTATTAATCAGACACCATCACCGAGGTAGAATAAATGAATTCAAATAATAAAAAAAAACATTATATAAATATTTTATTTCATTAATGTTGTTATCTGTTCAGATTAGTTATGTTTCTTTGTATTAAACATTTGTTTTAATTTTAATCCTTAGTCTTACATTTTTAAAATGCATTTGAAGGAACAATAATTGAACGTGGGTTAAAAATGTATTAGTAAATAGCCCTGTACCCTCAAATGTTCCTCAAAGCAGCACTTTTCTGTTAATAGGTTGATTTACAACCTCTACTTTCCAACATAAATCTAGTCTTTTTTTTAGATCCACCTTTTTCTGAACACGTTTACTGTGTATTTTTATGTATTAATATGATAATAATCTCCACTCCAAAAATCACTTCCATTTCTTTCACGTTTTTTCTGAAGATGCTTTAAAATGTAATTCATTTTTTTTTTCTTCTAATCCAAAGTAAAAACATCCAAATATTTCTGGTAAATGATTAAATAATTTCAGCATTTACAGGTTATTCGCGGTCTGCTCATTTGTTAATACTTTTCCAGTATAAGGAACAGTTTATTAATAATCACCTCGTTGTCTTTGTTTTTGCAATTTACTATTACTGCATTCATAAAGAAATTGCTCCCAATATTTACAAATGGTCCAAAGGAAAAAAGGTGGATAATGCCACCCTACTGCTGAGAACACCTGGCATGAAATCAGACTCCATTCTTCCATACAGAATCTGTCCTTAAATTTCCCAAGTTTCATGTTGGTGCAATTCCTCAGTTTATTACACTAATACAATATTTTTAATAAGGTTCAGGTCAGGACACTGGGATGGCCATTTCTAGACCTTATTTTGTGCTCAGTGACCCATTTTGGAGATGTTTTTTAAGGATGGTCTTAAACAAAGATCCAGCCACAGTTTGTTATATAATATTTAGCAGAAACATTTTTCAGAACATGATGTTCTGAAGCATTGTCATAAAAATAGGCCAGTGGTTTTAAAGGTCCAACAGAATATTAAACCTGTGGACATGGTGTACATTTCGTCCTTGTGTATCCCATTAAAGCACAGATGTCAAAACCAGTTCCTGGAGGCCCGAGATCTGCACAGTTTAGTTCCAACCCTAATTAAACACACCTGATCAAAATAATTGAGTCCTTGAAGGAGGGTTGGAACTAAACTGTGCCGGGCTGCAGCCCTCCAGGAACTGGCCTTGACACATGTGCATTTGTGCCATTGTTGTGCCAAAAAGTTTGTTTCTCACTTACATAGAAAATATTCAAAAATGCAAAAGTGTCTGGAAAGCAAATGTTCTGGATTTGATGGATGAGAGCATTTTTTCCCACTTTAAATCCTCCCAAACTAATCATTGTCCAGCTGTGTTTCTTGGAAGAGTCTTTGAACACAACATCTTCCATGCACATTTATAACCCTTATACTGTATGAACCCACAGACAATGACAGTATTTCCTATAATGTATTTCTTCAGGTGATCGGGAAAGGAAGTGAGAAGTCTGATGATAACACAGTGGACGAGAAGTACTTGATTGCCACATCAGAGCAGCCAATCGCAGCCTTCCTGAGAGATGAGTGGCTGAAGCCAGAAGAACTTCCTATCCGCTACGCTGGCCTCTCCACCTGCTTCAGACAGGAAGTGGGCTCTCATGGCAGAGACACGCGCGGGATCTTCAGGGTCCATCAGTTTGAGAAGGTCTGAACTAGTTTATTGTGGAAACACCAAGTGATGACAATTAAAGTCTGGGTAAAGAAAATTCTGAGAATTGTTTCTATAATCATATATCTTATAAATGCATTACTGAAACACATTGCAAAGACTCTAAAGTATGTAGTACTGAATTTTGGAGTTTTCAGCAATTTTGTTCAGTATTTTTTTGCGCGGCCCTAACAATATACAAACTAGGGATGCTCATTTAGAAAATCGACAACCGACGCTCATTAACCAGGGTGTCTGCGGGGTCTTAAAGTATTGAAGGTTGATAAATCTATTCTGAAAAAAATGCAGGCCCTTAAAAGGTATTAAAAAGTCCTAATCACGTTTTTTACGAGGTCCTCTATTTTGTTGAAGCATTGTCCAAAGTGTTTGACTCCAAAAAAAGCATAAATATATTTATTTTATGTAGTTTATGTACTCCTGAGAGAAAGACGAGTTTAAACAGTGGCTGAAACCAGTCGCTGATAACAACCTTTGTCTTTAAATATTCTGAGAAGGTCTTTCATAAGTCTTAAAAAGATATTGAAATTACCTTTAGGATTCCTGCATATACCCTGCTAAACTAAATAGTATGTTACATGTTTTACAATATGCTCGCTGTATTAAATTTTAACATACTTTGTTTTACTTATTTTTTACCACGTACATGTAGGCATTAGGTCATATAAATTAGCTTAAAGGTTTTGGAAAAAGCCATTGAATTTTGTAATGAAAATGTGTATGAACCCTGTTAATAACACATTTTTCTGTTGTGTGACAAACTCAAACAAACATTTTAATATCGCTTTACCCGGACTTTAAATATTGAATTAAGTTGATTTTCATTACAGTTAGACCTTAGCACAAAGTCAAAATGACTCTGTTATGAATCCCACAACCTCTCTTTCCAGATTGAGCAGTTTGTGTACGCCTCTCCTCATGATGGCAAATCCTGGGAGATGTTTGATGAAATGATTGGAACCGCTGAATCCTTTTATCAAACATTAGGAATTCCTTATCGAATTGTCAACATCGTGTCAGGTTTGTTCACATTCTCCTTTTTCCCTGATTTAGAGCACCAATGCAACTAAAAATTGACTTTTTTTTGGAAAACATTGAACATTTTTCTGACCGCTCCATAAAAAACGTAAAAAATTATTGTTTTCTTTTACATCACAGGTGCTTTGAACCACGCAGCTAGTAAAAAGCTGGATTTAGAGGCTTGGTTTCCTGGTTCCCAGGCTTTTAGAGAGCTTGTGTCATGCTCAAACTGTACAGACTATCAGGCTCGTCGCTTGCGGATTCGATACGGGCAAACTAAGAAAATGATGGACAAGGTACTACTCTTTTCTGAGCAAGGAAGTTCTGGATATTATATGTTTACAGTTTCAGGTTGGTTTAACTATTGTGTCTGCTTTTATTACAGGCTGAGTTTGTGCACATGCTCAATGCCACCATGTGTGCGACCACTCGTGTCATCTGTGCCATCCTGGAGAACTTCCAAACAGAGGAAGGCATCATTGTTCCAGAACCCCTCAAGGCATTCATGCCTCCAGGTGAGTGTTATTATTAAGCTTGATTTGTTTAGCTAAAGTTTGATACTTAATAGATTTTCTTTAGATGACTTACTTCTAATGCTGATTCTTCTGAATGACGTTAAGAACTGATTCAGGTCATTAGTTTGGGAATCTGACATCAGTTGTTGCGCTCAGTCTTTGATACACTACACAGAACTGAGTCTGTTCTTTAAGAGTTTGACCACATTGGTTGAACTTTGATTTTGAATTAGCAATAGGTTCAAGCCAAACACAAGGAAAATGTTAATGCCCAATATTTTTTGCCTCACATTTTTTTTCTTGAGTTTATGATGTTTAAAAGATTAGTCAATTATGAAATTGTTCTATACTGGTCATGCTATAGACGGTGGCTCAGTGGTTAACATTGTCGCCTCACAGTAAGAAGGTCGCTGGTTTGAGTCCCGCAAGGGTCAGTTGGCATTTCTGTGTGGTGTTTGCATGTTCTCATCGTGTTCGCGTGGGTTTCCTCCAGGTGCTCTGGTGTCCCCTACAAAGACATGCAGTATAGATGAATTGAATAAACTAAATTGGCCATAGTATGGCTCCAGCGCACCCTGTGCGTGGTTGCATAGCCCTCGCCATGGCCATCACCGACGCGCACCTCTCAAAATATGTAACTACACGTCGCATAGCGCTGACGAGTGTGGGCAGGAGTAAGAGCCATGCGAGCCGATGGAGCGAGTGTTTACAAGTGTCGAGTCCCTTGAAGGAGCTCCAGATGGAAACTGTTGTTTTGTGTTCACTTTATGATTAAAGTTGTTGCATGTCTGCTGGTTCCCTCCTCAAAATTAGCGAGTTTGATCCACAAGGTAGCAATGGTAAAATAAGGGTAAAATAAAACAAGAAGAAACTCGATACAGAGGACAATAAAAATCTACTGCCGACTAGCTATTCGGAAGTGTTATTGCAGAGCAACACAAACAGCATGCAGAAGTATAAATGCATGGCAGAGCGCAAGGCATGCGCCGTGGGTCACGCAGATTACTTGATTCAGAGGTATAAACCAGGCTTAAGTTGGTGTTTTAATCCGCTGTGGTGACCCCTGATAAATAGGGACTAAGCTGAAAGAAAATGCATGAAGAATGAATGGCCATTTTATATGTTACTGACCCATTAAAGGTACAAGATTGTAAGTTTTTTTTTATTCAGGGTGTCCACTGAGTCTTAATATATCTTAAATTTCAAGGTTTAAATTCATTTAGTTCTTAAATACCTAAATAATTTTAAACTGGTCTAAGCTACCTTAATCTGGCCAACATTCGTCCAGTCACGAACAATCCAAATCCTCCATGTACCAATATGGTTGAATTAACTCTTACAAAAACATTCGTTTAAAAGTTGTTAAGAATGTGTATGTATACAACTATGGTTTGCTTGTTTTGACACATTATTTAAAATATGTGGCTAAGAAGTAAGTTTTGAATTGTTTTGATGGGGCATGTAAAAGTCTTTGTCCAAGGTTTTATTTTAGAAAGGATTCATTTGAATAAATAGTGTTTAAAGCAGTTATTCACCTAATTCGCCTAATTTTATGTTTAATTTTGGATTTGAACAAGTTGCATTTTAGGTGACATTTTAAGCAATATTTTTTGCTGGATTAGCTTGTTTTATGGTCATCATAGCCACACTTTTTCATGTACCAAAAACATTTCCGAATTTCCGAAAGATTTACATCAATTATCATTTACATCATATGCATCAGTTACATCATGTAACTTCAGAACACAAAAAGGAATCTGTTAAAGTTTTAAATAAAAAAAAAACTGTAGCCTATAGTCTTTTAAATATCACTCATTTAAATGGAAATCTTGCCCGCACGTTCGACTTTCCGTAGTCACGTTGAGGCAACAGCCAATACAATATTTTGCTTGGTGTTAAAGCCTTTTTTTGATAGGTAATTTTCACATTAGGGTATATGCACAAAGGCTTTTAATTTCAGTCAGCCAGCCCCAGGGCTTCCGGTTAAGATCTGAACATTTTGAAAAAAAACAGTGAGCTGAGGTATGATATCAAGTGGGTGTCAGACCAGACAAGAAGCACTGCATTAAATTAAACTTTTCCACACCACGTCTTTAAAATATAGAAATTAATTTTACTCCAGTATTTTCAATGGATTTTCTGTGCTAGCCTGCTGCTAATAAAGGCCCTTGCGTTTAAAAGGTTTTTTTGTTAACAACCAAATGGATGCTTACATCTATTTAACTGATTATATTTGAATTACATTACAGCATCGATGCTGTAAAAGCAACCTTATGAAATTAATAATAGTCACGAAGCTTTCACTGGAAGTTCATCATTGGCTGAAAAACACTAGCTGTGCATATAGTCCATTTATTATTGCATCATAGTCAAAATAGGACAAATGAGCTCATGTATGAAACAAATTCTGGACCTTTGTCAGTGAGGGGTGGGTCTTTTGAATCTCCCGAACCCCCCTGGCTAGTGTTTTAAGCCCTGCAAAAGTCATAACTCATAATGGTCCTAAAAGACCTTTAATAAATCTTAAATTTGACTTTGAAATCCTGTTACTTTAACTGCAATGATTAAACTTTTTTATATTTGACAAAAATTCAGTTAAACTTTGGGAATTGGACTAGACCTTTTAGATAGATGGTGTTGTTTTTCCCCAATAGCAAGAAGCCACCAGCTGTAAATTTTCTCTTTATTTTATTTCACTTAGGTTTAACAGAAATAATTAAGTTTGTGAAGCCAGCCCCCATTGACCAGGAAACCACAAAGAAGCAGAAGAAACAGCAGGAAGGAGGAAAGAAGAAGAAACATCAGGGCGGCGATGCTGATCTAGAGAACAAAGTGGAGAACATGTCTGTCAATGACTCTTAGACACGCCCTCCACAGTCTCATCCAATCATATTGGTTCACAGGTTCTTCATTTCGTGTAACCTGATCACAATTGCTGTCCCCTGGAGCTCTCACTTTTTCATCCAGGACAGTCCTACTGGAACTAAAGGTGATGCTGTCATGCTTATAATCTTATCTCATATCAACCAATCATTTTCATGCCAAGGGGTCTTTAGAAATATTCAATTAAATGCATGGTGACAAGACATTTAGCCATTAGACTGAAATGCTTTTACAGCACTTTAATTTCCTGAAGGCACTGCATTTCAAACCTGCCAATGAATTAAAGGGAACATGACAGTCAGTACTGGGATTAGAGGTGGGAGTTTTCGAACATTCTGGAAATTGGTTATGATAACGGACAGACCTCTTTCAATATCCTGTCTTATAATTAACATTTGTGCTATATTTCAAGTAGAGGTAATCATTGATTACTGTGCACCTAACATTCACATCGTCACAACAGTTAAAGCCAGCAGAATGCAGCTTTCCATCACGTCCATCACGTCTTTCCTTCATAGAAATATTTCTTTTCGTGATTTGTCTGTAAAAGAGGAAATGTTATTATATGTACAGTACTAACTAAAGATGCTTTGTGTGAGGAGGAGGAGGAGGACGGCATTTGAGAATAAATCAATACCTGAAGGAGTACATTGGTCGGGTGTTTGAATTGCTTTGTGTCATTTAATAATATTGTAAGATGTTGTGTTAAATACCACGCTGGAATATAGTAAAAGATGCATATATATCCAAAAAACTATACACTTAGTTAATCTTTTGAGAGTACAAGAAGCCTACATTAATATTACCTGTGATGCATGTACATTCAATTCATCTTTATGTCTATCCGCTTGTTAAATGTGACGTCACACGAAGCGGGTTTCGGGTCCAAGTGCTCTATTCCAGGGGTTCCCAAACTTTTTAGCCCGCGACCCCCAAAATAACAATGCCAGTGACTCGCGACCCCCAATGTCCTCTGAGGTGGTTATAAATACAGAAACCTTGCATGCAATGACGCAGACACACCAATTAAATTTGTGTCAGTGTTTAAAATGTGCCAGAAAGTATAACCTGATGTTATAAAATCAAAATGCATCTGACGCTATTGCTGCCTTTAATATAATATAATTACCCCAGGGGTCGCAATCCAATAGAACTAGTAAATATAAGCTACTATAGTAACTATATAGTATATAGTAACTATAAACGACAATTTTTATTTTCAGTATAGTTATGGATAAAATATGTTAATTCTTATGGTTTAATAAAAATAAATACATTTTTGGAAATCACCAGGCGACCCCTTTTCATTGCCCCGCGACCCCTCGGGGGGTCCCGACCCCCACTTTGAGAACCACTGCTTTATTCAACTGAATGGGGAGACCCATGGAATGGTAATAATAAACGTTTACAAAGTGATTTAATACTTCTGAAAATCACGATCACTATAAATATGTCCATGCCTAATATCCAATGGCCAGAAAGGGATTCATTTTTTTTTATAAATTGTTAAAATGTTGGTATTTGATATGCAGCAAACCCAGAGATTGTTGTGCACACTATGACTTTCTATAAAATTAACTTTAATGTGTGATATAATTAAAAGTGATCATAAACAAATGATTTCTCAACTCAAATGAGTGGCGGCTTGGTCCAGGAAACACTATTACATATCACCAACACGTCACCACTTAACAAGCGGATAGAGCTTTTATAGTGTGGATTGTGTCAAAGCAGCTTAACAAAGAAGTTATAGTATATTAAAACTGTCAGTTCAGTTTTCAGAGTTGAAGTTCAGTTTAGTTTCAGCTTAACAGCTGAAAGTCCAAACACTGAAGAGCAAATCCATCAATGCGCAGCTCCACAAGTCCCGAACCATGCAAGCCGTTGGCGAAACTTGACAAAACTTTACCAATTGACGAAAGTGAAGGAAAAAAAACCTTGAGAGCAACCAGGCTCAGTTGGGCACAACCATTTCTCCTATGGCCAAACTTCTTGTGCAGAGCTGTAGTCTAGGTGTCAGAGGCTGAAGAACGCTGGACATTCATAGTGGAGAAGCAGCAGGTGTGAGTATGTCACCGGTGGGTGTTTATGCTGGCCCACGAGATCAATGCGCAGACTTGTCTGTCCTTGTGGTGACTTTCAGGAATCAGACTCGTACTCTCCACTCCTCTATGTCCACCACAGCATCAGCTCAGGATACGGCCTGGTCCAGGATTATGGAAACCTCAGGAATAATAAAAGCAGACTAACATAAGCGCAGATGCCGTTCAAATTATAATATCCTCAGGGTTGGATAAACTGTTTCTGCTTTGGAATTTGGGTGGAATTTAGTTATCTAGTTTCCCCCCCTCAGGTGTGCAGAAGTGTAATTGAATTAAGACCGGTATTTGGTCCTGTCTAGAAGTGAAATAGTTTTACAAGATTACCCATGCTTGGTGGAGTTTTCAGACTGGTTTGCCTTGGAGAGGTTGAATCTTTCAAGTGAATCGAATCTTTAAGTGGCATTTGTCGCAGCTACGCCGTTAGGTCAGATACATCTTTTATTGCATTTCCAATACTTGCTACAATTTTTTTTAAATACAAAAGTTGTTGTGATAAAGAAAGGAAAACAAAACTTAATATGGAATATAATCCAAATCCCACAGGAGATATGATACACAACAAAGCATATAATGTATTTTTACTCCGATTGCCCTAAATAATGCAGCCTAAAGTCCTTTAGAGGATGTGGATTTCAAAAGCATTTGTGTTTTGTGTGTATGCTAATGCAAAGAGATGTGTATTTAATCTAGTTTAAAACTGACAGTTTTTCTCTGCCTCCCGAACTTTGCTAGGAAGGCTATTCAAAGTTTAAGTGCAAGATATAAGAGAGAGACTGCCTACAGTTGATTTTGATGTTAATACTTAATATTGAAGGATTTTCACTATAGCTGTGATCTTTCAGGCAAATCTACACTGCAAATTTTAGATAGTAGATTTAACTACCTTAGAGTTAAAAATAACACTCCTGTTTATATGGGAACCACTATAAAAGTGTTAAAATAACACTTTTGAAAGTGTTAACACTATCAACACTCAGTGTTAATTAGCAAACACAGTGTAAAATATCTCTAAAATTTATGGCAAAATACCGGCAGCTGTGTTCGCCAGTAATCTGCTGTTTTCAACATTTTACATTCGTGAATTCAGTTTACAGAATATTTTTGTTATAAATGCATCCCACAGTCTGTATTTTTCATCAAAGCAAAATCCTCACTACAGAGGGTTGAACACTCAGACAGTGATGAAGTTAATAATGAATAATATTTTTAACATTTGCATCCTAATTGTTTGTTGAACCTGTATGAAGAGCAGCAGACTGCCAAGAAACACTGCTATAACGGCCAGAGAAACATTAAGATAGACGAGTAAAGGTGCAAGAGCTCAACTAAGCAGCCTCTGATGATGGTGAGGTCAAATGGAATATTTTTAATAGAAAAAAATAAACCTGTTCATTATCAAATATTCCTAAAGAAATGAAGTCAAACTGTAATCAGTGAAGCTGCCAATGCTGTTATTTGAGTTGTTTAATCCTCTGTTTTAATTCAGTTGGTTTGGTGTGAGGCTGTGTCTGTAGTTTTATTTTTTTCCTTCAATTTCACAAGATGTTCAACAGCATGTGTCTGAATTCACCAGGTGAATAAACTCTTATTCACCAGGGCCAGGTGAATGAGGGTGTATGGCGAGATTTCAGACACTCTAATTAGTTTCTCAAAAACAAGGGTTTTCTGCAAAGGTAGATAGGCTACATGTTACTCTGTAAGGAGGCAAATCAGCTTCTAACGGCGAGAGGGTTATTTTACCTTTATCTAACTCTAGAATTTTAACACTTTACTCTGAATTACCACAACACTTGAAATTTACACCAATTAATTTGCTGTGACAAGGTGCAAGCTTATGTATAAAACACATTTTATATAGAATGGTAATTCAGAGTATTTGTTTTTGGCAAGCGCTTGATAAATTATGAATAGTGCTGGATAATTTTGGTCAATACTTCTATAAAATTAACAAAAAGAAATGTAACGTTATAATCATTTTACTTAACCTCTATCTAGAAAAAATGCTTGCTTCAGGTATTTCAGAAGTCATTTGTTTCAAAAGTTCACAGTTTATGTTGCAGTCAGTGTGGATAAGAGCATATCAGGGTGTATTTTAAAGTGCTTTTTTTCTACTCAAAGAAATACGAATACTAAAGCATCTTACTGACTTTGTGTAAAAAAAAGAAGGGCTGAGTAAACAACGTAAATGAAACGTCTGCGTTAAGGACTACAAATCCCAGAGGTCTCTACTCCTCTATTGGCGTTATATCCCAAAATTCTATTGGCTCGTTGTATTGTCGTAGGCCAATGGCGTTTTAGAATACTGCTCCCTACAAACCAACGCTTCTCAACGGTAAGATGTGAATCTGTCAAACATATTGCGTGTTTACGAAATTACTTGTATTCGATTCAATTAAAAAGTGACATATCCATCTTCGAACACAGCTCCATTAACGAGGCTGTAGCAAAAAGCAATGGGATCCGGAGAAAGCACGACAAGGAGAGTTTCTTTCGGCCTAGATGAGGATGACAGGGTGAGGATTCTGCGTGGAGTGAAGGTAATCCAACATCCCATATTTACTATTCACATGTATTATGATCAGTCATGCTGGTGATGTACGATAATGTTTATTATTGTGGGACTGAATATACCCTCGTGTTAGGTTAGCCCAATGCCCTTCAGCGAATGGGACACCTTTGGGAGAATAGGACACATGGTTGTTTCGTGTGTCAGTTCACAAAAACATCAACCCGAAGCTTTTTTTCTCTTTCTGCAGACTTCATAAGATTAATTTATGGTTTATGACAGTCGTGTCCTCGGGGTCGGATAAACCGTTTCTGCTTCAGAATTTGAGTTGGAATGGAATTTAGTTATTAGTTTCCCCCCTCAGGTGTGCAGAAGTGTAATTGAATTAAGACAGGTGTTTGGTTCTGTCTGGAAGTAAAATATTTTTACAAGATTACCCACGCTAAGTGGAGTTTACAGACTCGTTTGAATTGGAGAGGTTGAATCTTTCAAGTGAATCGAATCTTCAAGTGGCAGTTGTCGCAGCTTCGCCATTAACGTTAGGTCAGATGAGGACAAGAGGTTCAGATGCATAAGAAAAATACTAGATATACATTAAAATCTCTTTCTCTCTCTTTTTTTTTTTAAATAGCCGGTTTAATAAAAACATACTTTTATTTAGTCAGCTCTTAGATGGCGGTGATGTCCCTTTCTCATATGAAAATATATGCATCAGTTTTCTTTTCCTGTTCCTCCAAAGGGTTATGCCATTGTTTTTGCTGCAATATCTGATTGTGTTATACCTTTATTAAAATAAGAGAAATTAAAATGGTCGTGCCCAACTGAGTCTGGTTCTCTCAAGGTTTTTTTTTCTTCACTCCCATCAGGTGAAGTTTTTTTTCCCTCTCCGCTGTCGCCACTGCCTCGCATGGTTCAGGATTGGTAGAGCTACGCATCGATGAATTTGCTCTTCAGTGTTTGAACTCTCAGTAATGATTAAATCACACTGAACTGAGCTAAACTGAACTGAACTGAACTTAAACACTAAAACCTGAACC